CTCACTGCACAGGGAATGTGGGGATGCCTTCAGAGCCTGGCAAATGCTGCTCTCCAAGCAGAAGGTGCCCAGCTCAAACCTCTGCAGGCAGAGCTGGGACAAGGGGCTGAGGTTTGGGGCAATGTCCTGCTCTGGGCACCAGGGACCTGAGCAAACACAGCCCTGCTGGAAGGGAGAACAGGAGCAGGGCACAGCACTGGGCATCCCGTGCCACAGGAAGGGCTCAGCTCCTGCCAGCCTGAAAATGGGAGCAGGAAAATGGAGAAAACCCTGCCTGGAGCACAAGAATTCCTGCTCTGGGAACAGCCTTAGAAAAAGGCTTCCTGTGCTGCCATTATCCCTGGGAGGGAGGAGCAGGAAAGCTGACAAGCAGCCAGCCTTGTTTAATCCCTGGGATTGTGTCAGCCCTGCCATCCCTGCTGAGCAGTGCCTGTCACTCCTGTCCCAACAATCCACCTGTGAGCACGGACAGGAGCAGCCAGAGCCTCGGGAAGGGCTGGAAGTTCCAGCCCCCCCGAATGTGAACATTTCCAAAGACAGTCCTTGTTCTCCCCCTGCCACTCCAAATATCACCAAAAATGATGCTTGAGGTGTTCCAACACCACAAATTTCACACAGTAAACAGCATTTACAAGTTTCATTTTTCAGAACAAAAGCTGAGACTGGGCATTTTTCTGTTGCAATATTTAAGTAAGTACACAGGGAGTTGCCGTAATGTCACACAAACAAACCCCAAAAAATGCAAGAGGCCATTTCCAGCCTTCCTAACAAGTTGATTGGATTAGCCCATTCCAGCCCTTTTGCAGGCTCTGAATTGTGCTGATTTATTCTCCAGACACAAAGTTAACTCCTTTTAAATGTGGTTCAGACCATGTAAACACTTTGTTTATCCCTGTGGAACTCCCAAGGATTGCAAACACTGTCCAAGGACTTTCACAGCAGCAGGTACAGCACAGGTTCCTCAGGGGTCTCAGCCATCCCTGGCTCCTCCAGGAACCACAGGGATCCCCAATTCCCATCCCCAGGTTCAGAGGGTCCACAGGTACAGTCCTCACACCACCTTCCTGGATGTCACCCTTTTATTTTAATATCACTCTTTTCACAGAACTCCTGAAATCTATCTTCCAGAAATGCAAGTTCAGTGCAATCTTACTTGGAAAAAAAGGAAAATCCACCTGAACTGCTGAAAAAAAAGCCCAAACCAAACCCTCCCATCATTGTCTCTTCCCAATAGGATTTAATTCCCTCCCTTTGTCATTTCCTAGTTCTCATGTTTAAATTTGTTGAAAGGAATCAAAAGAAGAATCCTATCTCTCCTCTTTTCTGAAACAGCTCTCTATATATTCCCACTTCTTCTTAAGAGCTAATAAACTGGATTAATTTTTTTAGGTTTTTAAGTAGAAGAAAAGCTGAGCAGAGACTTAACCCCTCCTCTGAACCCTGCACAAAGCCTGGATTTCACAAGCTGACTTGCAGCACAAATACACCTCCCAAAGAATGCTTTTTCAAACCTTATCTGGGAAGGTTCTGCAAAATAGGCATCAAGCACTAATTCTCCTTACAGCACTAAAATGATACTCACAGCTGGGAAGGAGTGGGATAGAATTCCCTCAGTGTAAGGAGCTGTGTCCTGCCAAACCCAGCTAAGGCTGAGCTGGATGTTTGGAATATCTGCTGCTCCAGGGCTTTGCTTTGCTGCCTCTCCAGAGGGAATGGCCCAGAAAATGCCACCTGATGGGCACAGCACAGGGGGCTGCCCAGCCCAGAGTGGCCCCCAGACCCAGGGGTTTGACTGATTTCTCCAAGTCTGCAATCAAAAATTGCCAGGATGGGAACACCCTCACCCTTTGCTATCTGCTCCTGCAACAAATGACAGCAATTCAGAGCTTTTACACTGATGGCATCCAGCCTCCCTAGCACAAGGCTGTGTCCATCTGACAATCCAGGACACAGCTCAGGCTGCTGCAGTGCCCAAACACCAGTGCTGGAACCACATCCAAAGGGTGAGGAAAGCCAAATTGGGTTTTCAGCCTTTTTTCCTCCTCCCTTCAGTATTTTTGGCCCGAGCCAGATGCACCCTGCCAAAATGTGTCCCCACTGCACCACCACTCCCTGAGCTATTTCACACCTCCCATCCCCTGCTCCTGTGGAGCCAGCTCCACACACACACTGCTGGGTCCAAGGGTGATGGAATGGAATCTTCCCCTGCACAGGGACAGCCCAGGGGGGCCAGGGCTGGAGGATCTCCATGGCAGGAATGATGCTCAGCTGTGCAGTTCCTCCCATGCCTTCCTGGTCACTGGATCCAAATGTCACAAATGTCTCAGCTTCTCTGGATCTGAGAGACAGGGACATGCAGGAACATGGGACAGGGTGCTCACAGGCCTGGGGAAGGGAGAAGCTCCAGCTAGCCAGGGGGAACAGGAGAAAAGAAAAAAAAGAGAAAAAAGGGAGGAAAAAATACAGGAAATGTAAGGGGAAAAAAGAGTAAAGGGAAAGAAGGGGAAAGGGCAAAAAAGAAAAGGGGAAAGAGGAAAAGGGGGAAAGAAGAAAGAGAAAAAGGAAAAAGACAAAAGGGAATAAGGAAAAAAGGAAAGCAGGAAAGGGGAAAGAGGAAAAGGAGAAAGAAAAGGAAAGGGGGAAAGGGAAAGAAAAGAAAGTAAAAAGTAAAATGAAAAAAGGTAAAGAAGGAAGACAGGGAGACAAATGTGGCTGGTTCTACAACCATCCTTTAATGGGTGAGGGCAAATACCAGGGTTTGAATCTGAGTTCAGTGGGAAGGGAAGGGAAGGGAAGGGAAGGGAAGGGA